CGTCTGAAGGACCTGGGCACTTCTATCACCACTGATCATCAGCAGGAAGCTGCACCTCCTCAGAAGACCGTTGAACTAGAACAGGCAAATTTTGGGCTGGACTTCAGCCGGCTCCAGTGATTACAGAAGTGCACCAGTGATAGTCGAGTGTTAATGCTGCCTGCAGACTCAAACCTTACCCAACATCTGAGCTCAGAAACGGAGCTGCCTGAATATCACATGATGAAATGTGAGGAAAACTACACGCGCTCACACAAGCCTGGTGGACATGCTGGCAGTCATCACTGCCTATCAACCCTCATGACTATGAAGCAACAAGCCAGTGACAGACTTGAGGGCTGAGTCTCAAATTCTGCACTTCAGTGTACAAAATGACAGTAATGTTGACAGAAATGTCAGAAAATGGTGGAAAATGCCAGTTTTCCAGAAGCCAGGGTGACATCTTCAAAAGTCCAAAACCTAAACGACTTTTGCCATTTTTTGCTTGAAAGATTATTAATCAGTTATCAGATAAGTTAACTAAGATCCTGTTCTTCTCAACATCCACACTCTTGTATCTCAGTAATAAGTGGAACGTGTCATTTATTATGCAGGAAAAAATGTTTAACTAAAGATTATTTACAAGCTTCTGCATTATGAAAGTGTACATTAACACGCAGTTCCATCTGCTTGTAGAATGATATTAGCTTGCTCAAACACACAGTATCTAGTGGTTACATTTTATAGCAAGTATTGCATTTTTTCTCTCATGTGCAAAATGAACAAAAAAACAAAAACAGCGTGGCACTGTGCTGGACATTTATTTGTTGTTTTCTGACCATGAGCAGCTTAAACATTAATCAGAATCATCTTTATTTATAAAGCCAACTCTCAATTTCCGTTCATTCCAGGCTGAGCAGAGAAGCAAGAAGAAGAAAGAGGGGGGAGGGATTTGCATTTTCCCATAAACAACAAGTATTGAATACCAACAGCATCGATATTTCAAAGACCTCTGACCCAGTGTAGTTGAAAAGTTCAAGCAGCTTAAATGCAAGCTAATAACTGGGAAACGCAAGTACCAAACACATTACAGCACATGTTTTCTCGCCATATGTAGAATTTCTCATACACATATACATATAGATGTGTCTCCCTGCCCAGGTAAATGTGATGCTGTTCACAGCTGTGATATTTTTTCTACTCCCTAAAATAACCGTGCTCAGTGCAGACGCACTGCAGCCTATACTTCAGCTCAAAGCTATACTTCAGCTCAGACTTGCACTCTGTGAACTGATGTCAATAAAATGCTCTACGTCATGTTTACAGCGAAAACCTCAGGGTGCAGGAGGCAGCAGCCATTATTATTATTTAGCAGCCATTATTATTTATACACTTTCATAAATAAGCAATTAGTCCCTTCAATACTGACCACGAGACTGAAATCTTGTCTCCATTTCAACATCAAGGAAGTGTTTTTGAGAAATGCTAGCAAGGAGGTTCTACAGATATCAGCAGTTCACAGGTAGAGCCCCAGTGATTTGGTCCCCTGATCCCTCTGTCAGGGTACTCATATTATATTTTTCCCCTATAGGATGATCTATAAATAAATCTGCTGAGCCTTCAACTTGATCTAATACCATCACAAGATAATCTATTAATTTGGACTTTTAAACCAAATTATTAACTACAAAACCCATGAAAAATACTTTCAGCATTCCTTTATGTTTAGTTCTAATTATAAAACGTTAGCATACAATATCCGCAAGCTCGCTTTACAATGTTGGCATGTAGACACTACTATTGGGGGCCAAAGGAGCTTGCAAAGAAAAGCGTCTGGACTTCTTAAGTTACTTGAAGACATTTCACCTCTCATCCGAGAAGCTTCTTCAGTTCTAAGGTCAAATGGTGGAGAGTCCCAGATATAAACCTAGTGGGAGTATCCCCCCACAGCTTTTCTTTGCAAGCTCCTTTGACTACGATGACCTGGATGACTGAGAACCTTCACAGACATACTATTGGGGGCATTTTCAGGGCTCCACTTTACAGTGGGTACCTCCGAGCATGAAGAACTACTGGATGTGACAATGCTAACTGGTTAAACTTGAAGAAGACAACAAGTAGCAACAGAATAAGCAGTGTTACCTTCTCAAGCATTGCTATTAGCATCATAAAATTAATCAGCAAAGGCTAACGCAACAACAACAACAGCATTACAGCAGCTGTGCCATGTTCTCGGTTGTTTTGCTGCTTTGGCAACATTCAGTACTGACAATGCAGTTGAAGCTATCACAAAATTATTATATCAACTCGTGAGTCTGATTAATTTTACATCAAAACCAATAAAAAGAGAATTGGTGGTCATTAGCAACATCACCCTCCCTCTGAACCCGCTTTGTGTTCCTGGAGAAGGTGCCTACAGCCTCTAACGATGAGAGATTTCACCAATCAAATCAAAGCTAGTACAACAGACCAATGATGGGGTGTAGACTACATATTAGCACAATTTTGGCTGGTTGTGTCAAACAACGGGTATTCACAACGTTTACCCAGCAATACTACTTCTGATGTCTTCTACTTTCTGTTCCCTTTCTGCGTCTATTTTCTTGTTCCGTAACGACTCAAGAAATCTTTGAACAAATTGTAGTTTCTTCACACAGGATGCATTTTTGACTTTTGACCGCAAACTGAATTAGACCCTGACCCTCATAGCCTACTTCTAACAACTAGCCTTCAAACCCTACCTAAACCTACTCAACCCTCAAACCTAAACCGTAACCATGAATCTAATCCTAAACAGTAACCTGAACCGTTGACCCTAAACCTAACCCCAACATATCAGAATATCTGATACTTGGTTTTTGAAAAGCCAAATTAGGGGCATTTTTCATCGCTGATAACTTTCACAAAGATAATAATTTAAACTGTAATTTACAATTGGTAACAGAAGATAACTGCGTTGTAGCGTAACAGGTCATCTGGAGCAGTTCAATAAAATGACCACAAACTACGATATAAACTACAAAAAGGTAATAAAGCAGGCATCAGGTCTACACCTGAGAAGCTACACTGTCAAGAAAAAAATGTCTAAGTTGATCTTTGCTCAGATTAACAGTGCAGGTCTGTTGTGGAGCGTGAGGCTCCGCAGCGCATGTGTGCCAATTCATTTCCTCAAGGTCTGCTGCAAGAAAACCTTCCTCCTCCGGTGCAGCCCACATGTGGGGAGATTACATCTTTTATTTATCACTTCTTGGCTCTATTTTTCCAGCAAATTCCAAGCTGGGGTGCAATCAGCCAAGAAAGCCTCCCTGTGTGTGTGAGCGTTTGGGATGTGCGGACTACTGTTATTCCTCTTTGTAAGAATGCACATCGAGCCCAGATTCAGTTTCATTCCTGCAGAAACATTTCCCAATATCTGGGAACATAGGCCTCTTGTTTTGGCAGGGGAATGTGTTGTGAGTGCATATTCACAAATACACAATGCCCACATGAACCGCCTGCATTTGATGGTGGGGGGGGGTGTAGGCGAGGGAAGGATCTTGCAAGGACTCAGATTCCATTACAATTCAAATTAAGCACATGGAGTAATGGGATTACAGCCCTCAGAGATTTGTGAACTCACAGGTGACAAACTGTAGCACAGTCGCAGCTTCCCCGCTGACCAAACTGAGGGCTGTCTTCATTAAAGTGAGATCTTCAGATATGCACAAAGACACAACCCAAACTGGCTGCAGACTGGTGTGAATCATGGCCCATTTAAGAAGAATCTCAGTGCCAGTATACTTTCTCTTTCCAAACCTCTTCTACTTAACAAGGGAGTGAAAAGATGCTTTTGTTTGCTCTTCTTTTGCTGGCAACAGGACGCTTGAAAGACACAAATGAACATGTAAATAGGAACAAAGTGCCAAACTCACAATGGAAATGCTGGGCATTTGATATGTGTGCTGGGTAATTAAAATCTCAAAGAACCTCTTCAGAGAGGGGGAAAATGACACTAAATCAAGCACTGATTCATGCTGCTGGTGGACTAAAGTTGTCAAGCACAAGCACACAGGTGTCTGTTCCTGTTTCACTTGCTCTCAGTGGGTTATAAACAAAATCACGTACGGTAATTCTCAGCTTCTTTTCATAAAAAAGAAAAAAAATATATATATATACTTTTTTTCTTGCCTTTTAAAAAAACAGAACTCTAAAACCTTCCCGTCATTCCTCTAGATCTAAATATAAGACATCAATAGTGCATACTTGTCTCCTTTCCAGTGCAGCAGGTCGTGTTTATCAGCTTCTCACTGCTACACAATGCTGATCAAACTGTATGCAGGCTGTCAAAGCACAATGCATGCTCAACTATCATTATTATTCAACAGCATATCAATTGTGCCACAAAGAACAACTCATTCAAATGTAATGTGTGTCAGTTGGGACCCAACCCAGCTGAACACTTCCCTTATTACTCAATAGTTTTATGTAATCTTTTAAAACTGATTTTAAAGGTCAGACGGTATTTGAACAGGCTCCTTTCTCATGATATGTGATACAGAAAAAATAAAGCTCTAACGCAACTAAATGCTTCTTCCCCGAGTCACGTCAACGCAGTCACTAAGTGATCCAAGCCAGCCGGAGGACAGTAAAATCGTTTTATTTGTCATTAATATGACAAAGTTTCACAGTTCATTCTGACGCTGCTGAGGTGTGATGTGGGGGGAAAATCCTCTTTTGTTTTATTTTCAGCGTAGTCTGTATTTTAAGGCTTTTTTTCACATTCAAACTAAAGCTAAACAGGATTTAAATGCCTCAGTCACACATTCCCATTCATGCACCCAGCAGATTTAAAGCCCCATTGTAGCCTCTCCGCGAGTCTGTCGCCCTTTGTTGTCAAACCCTGTCACTTTACCTCCTCGTGTTAATCGACACATTCTCGCGCACCGACATTAAATCTCTCCTCTTGTTCTTTCTGTTCTCGACTGAAATTGTCCGGTTGTTTCATTTTTGTCCGTAGAGCCCAGTATCGCCACATCACTCACCGACTTGGAGTACGTTGTCCACGCAGCCGCTCTCCAGCAGAGCGATGCCCCGTCGGAAAGGCAGCCGCGTCTCGTCGCCGCTCTCCCCGCTACTTCCGATCTCCTCCCCGCCAGTGTTGAACGACGAATACATGCAGATCTCACGCTCGCTCCTCGGGAAAGACCAGTACACGATCCGTCTCTGGACGGGCTCCGGGATCCGCTCGAAACGCTCCTCTACCCTCTGAAACGGCCACTTCTCGGCGACTTTCCTCGCCGCGATGTCCAGGAGGGTCTCCGGACTCTGGGTTCTGCTCGATTCGCCCTGGGTGGCTCCTGAGCTGCCGCACGGCGCCCCCGCGGCCCGCTGGCCTTGTCTACATGTTGAGCCGTAGCCCGGTCTACAGCAGAGCCGCTTGGCTGGGGGCTGCTGTACGCGCTCCGCCATGATAGCTCCGCTTTAACGGCGACGGAGGAAGTCAACGCACCATATGAACGGGATGGGGAACGGAAAAGGTTACCCACGGTCTGATTGTTGGCCGTGTATGGCCAAATCATCCTTTTATGGCAACATGGGGCAGGGCTTCGGCGAGCTTGTCAAACCCCTTTGTTGACAAATTAAGAGAAGGCGGGGTCTGCGGGGCAAGCTCCGTGCTGAGGACTGCCAGAAGGGCGGAATTCCCGTCCGGCCCTAGTCCTTTGAGAGCCAGATTTCAGCCCAGAATGTTAACTTTGTACAATACAACTACAACGGTGTAGTTGTATTAAGGAGCTACTTCAGACGGTGGTTTTACCGGTTGGCGTACACATTTACTAGGGACGGAGAGAGGGAGCTTTGTCTTTCCGTGAGGTGGATCAGGCGGATGAAAGCTAGGTGCCAATGGGCGGTTATTCGCCTGTCAACACTCGAGCCTCGTGGTTTGAGGGGGGGAGGGGGCAATGAACGCAGCACCGCCCCGTGTGAGGTTTATGGTCCACCTGAATGTGGGGCGTTTAAAGGAAACGTAGCTGCTTCGTGAGAGTTATGGAAGTCAATTTTTGACAAAAGAAACACGAAATCTAGTTATGAAAAAAATAGTAAGGCTGAGTCACAAAGCCCGATGAAAGAAATCTTTGAGTTATTAACTACTATAATACGATTTTTAAGATGAAAACATCATTCAATATGTACATTTTGACATAAAATGTTTACTTTTTTAACACATAACCTCTAATTTTCCTGTTTTAGCATTTTCTTTCTTTCTGGAATTCACCAACTGTACCTTTAGGTGCCACAGACGCTTTACAATGAACTGCACAATGTGTTACGTCATGTTGCATTTGAAATTACCTGCTGATTAAAGAACCACTACTCTGTATATGTTTGCTTCTAATGCTAACTAGATGCTGAGAATTGTGATATCTGTAACATGAATGCATGAGAAGAAAAAGGGGTTGTGGCGATGGTGTAAGTAGGCAATGGGTTGTCATTTATTCATATTGAAAAAGACTGCACCAAAATAAAAAATAAACTAATTCAAAAGTAGTCTGCTTATTAGATGTAACTACTCGTTAATTGATGGTGCCAGAATGCTATTTGAGATCATCCCAGCTAATTTTAACGCCTGAATGGAATAGTATCATACATTGGCTTCACCAGAGCCTGGACCTCAACTTTACTGAAGCAGTGTGGGATCATCTTGATAGAGAATGGAACAAAGGGCAGCCAACATCTGAAGAAGAGCTTTGGAACAGCCTTTGTCCTTTTTAAAGACTGGAGAACTATTCTTGAAGACTGTTTAATGACATTTCAAGACAATTTGCTCAACACAGCCTAACTCTGTTGAAGAATAAAGATGTTTATATCAAAGATTGACCTTCAAGCTCATTAGAAAAAAAAATCAGTAGGCTGCTGCAACTGTTTTAATTTTTTTCATTTTTGCCAACAAAATATAAAGAAATGAGGCTTAAGACCTGTGCACAGTACAATACATAGATAAGATGTGCACTGTGAAAACACATATTTGAGCCCCAATTATGAACGGGAGTACAAAGACCAGAACTAGCTTCAACAAGTTTTAAAGCTGCAAAAAGAGCAGTTTGTGGGTTTTTTGTATTGTGTTTAAAGTATTTAAATAATCATTAAAGCTTGTGCAAATCTTTTAAAATGTAATATCCGTGTTTCTCTATTATTCGTTGCTGCCTTTCTAGGACAGTACAGCAGGTTATACTGAAACAAAAACTCCTGGCAGCCCCATCCAAAGATGTTTGATATCTTCTTTTGATCAGCAACTGGGGAACATTTAAGACACAAATTTAAACAGTTTTACTTGGCATAAAGACACTATTTGTCACTGTAATGGGCTTATCTGTCACTTTTCTCTTCCAGTTACAGTACCACCTGCTGCTCCTGCAGGACAGAGTTATCAGCAGCCTCATTTCAGCACACTTGCTCCATGCTGTGTAAATGATTTAGGCCCCCTGGTTGACAATCTTGAGTATTGTCTCATTTTACCCTGCAGACAGCACAGAAGAAGCACAGTAATGGCTGAGTCTATTCACTCAGCATGGTGGGAACACAGTGGGTGGGCTGGGAAAGAGAGACAGCAGCACAGACCATGGCACACTCTGTTGAATAAGACAGTACAGGCCTCTAGCATTTGACTCTGTGCTCATTTTTCAAGCATTTGAACAAATCTATCTTTCACTGTATTCACTAGATTTAAAGCAAGTACATATATTTCATTATATTGTCTTTTCAAGAATCTCTCAGTTTCTTGAACCATCTTTTTGATGGATACACTGAAATTTGGTTCCAACATTATTGTTCACCTATAGCAGGAGTCTCAAACTTGCAGCCACTTGCGGCCCACATCACCTCTATTTGTATATCGAGTTGAAGAAATAAAATGCAATTTGGCCCTTAACGTTACTTTTTTTTATTAGAGAGGATTTATTTGTTGTTGAGTGCAATGTTAAAATAAGTTCTTTTAAAAAGCAAATATGAGAAGAGAGTACAAACACGTTGAGGGACTGGCTGTGTTAGTTCAGTGAGAGAGTTATTTGTAGCAAAAACAATTTTCACTAGAAGTCAAAAACTAATGTGTACACTTACAGTGGCTTGCAAAAGTATTCGGCCCCCTTGAACTTTCCCACATTTT